GCACTCAAAGCTGGTGAATGGTGCTGTTTGGAAATATTGCACTTCAGACCACTGAATATACTGGTGACCATCACAAGCTGGAACATACAACGGTACAGTTAGTCTGGCTATGAGTCATTTAAAATCATGGGACACTGAACAGATGCCCTATATGCTAAAATGGATAATATTTTTCTCATGGTAAGTTGTCATGGCCAAACACTTGCTTATTATGTTCTGATGGTAACATAGTTTCAAATTTAAATGTAATGTAAGAATATTCCCTCTGCTCATTACCTATGTGAGTCATTCATAAACATTATAAGAACAAAAAAGATAATCACAAAATTTTAAATGGAAAAATAATGGAGTATTTTATTTATTGACAGAGATAATAAAACTTTTTATGATAATCCTGAATAGAATTTAATGAAATGTAAATCCAGATGCAAACAGCAAGAATCTGTTCTGGCAATTGGAGATGATTAGTGAAGCGGAGAATCCTGAATGGTGGATACTCATCTAAGTACTATTGGACCATGGGGTGGAGAAGGAGGGAGTCGAGGATGGTGAAGAGGTATTATTTACTATCAAACCAACCAACCAACCATATCTGTGTCTACCTGTCTCTCACACACACAACTGGATGTCTGACAGTGAGCAGGGCTCTTGACCTCTCTAGACCTCAGAGGCAAAATGAGAATTGTCCTCCAGCTAGAAAGCATCACAAAGTAAATGTTTTGCTTTAGATTTTCTTCCCCAAACACTCCATATTCCTTATATAGGAAATAGAGCCATTACTATATTCCTATGATCTTATGTTAAATCTTTGGGTAAGAAGTATCTCTTTATAAACCAAATTTTCATCTTAATCTTTGCCACTTCTTCCTCCTACCCCAAATTAAAATAAAAATAAATTCTATTAAGTTGCAGGAGATAGTTATAGTGTAATGCTTAAGTGCTTGGGCTTTCAGCTAGATTTTTGGGTTCCACTTAAATTAGGCAAATCACTGACTTGTTCAGTGCCTCAGTTCCTTTGTAAGAATAATAATGATACTTGCTTCACAGGATGGGTAGGAGGATGAAATAATACATTTAGCACAGGGCCTGGCCATAGTCAATGCTGAGTAATTGTTATTTTTTATTTTTATTTTTTGAGACCGAGTCTTGTACTGTTGCCCTGGCTGGAGTGCAGTGGTGTGATCTCCACTGACTGCAACCTCTTTCTCCCGGGTTCAAGCGATTCTGCTGCCTTAGTCTCCCAAGTAGCTGGGATTACAGGCGCCTGCCACCACGCCTGGCTTATTTTTTATATTTTTAGTAGAGATGGGGTTTCACTATGTTGACCAGGCTGGTCTTGAACTCCTGACCTCATTATCCGCGCGCCTCAGCCTCCCAAGGTGCTGGCATTACAGATGTGAGCCACCGCGCCGGGCGAGTAATTATTATTTTTAAACTATTTCCATTTCTCCATTTCCATTCTCCATTTCTCCATCTTCAATATATGTATATGTGTGTATACATATATATGATAGAGGTTATATATGTATATGTTATACTCACATAACCTCAGACACAGGGTTTCACAGCTAGAAGGAATTTCTAGATCAAGTACAAAACTCTTGTTACATCTGTGTTCTTTCTGTCAGATTCAGAGGGTTACAGTGATTTGGTTAGTGACAGAAATGATATTTAAACATGAGATTCCTGGCTTGGGGCTGGCTGCATCGTTTTTACTTTTCTTTCATTTACTTTTATCTTATTTAAATAATTTCCTATAGAACAATTTCCTTTAAATATGAAATGTTCCATAGGTTTTTGGTTCTCAGTAAATTATGATGTTACAATAATGTGGCTTATTTTCCTGATTGCTGATCTCTTCATCAATTAGGACGTGAATTCACTTAAAGCAGTCTATTTGATCACGAAAACCCAGTGACTTCTAAGTAGGCAGTCAGAAGAGTCTGCTTTATGAAACAGACAAACACCTAACATTGGACCTTTAAAATGTTCAGATATCAACACCACGAAAATATTATCTGATATTAGAGCCCCTGAGCAAGGGCTCAAGCTCTATTTTATGCCCCATCCCTGACTCACAGTAAGATCTTGGGCAAGTCACCTGACCTTCTTATATTTCAGAGTGTCAAACTGTGAAAAGCATGTCCATAAAACTGTGCAAGCATGACCTCATTATAAACCCGATGGACTTGAGTGCTTTGATACATTAAAGAATTACCGAAAGAGAACTCTAGTTTGTAAAATACGAAGAATGAGGAAAATAAATTTTACTATAGTAAGTAAAAGGATTCTGAAATGTACAGTTTTTAGCAAGTAAAGTCATAAAAAAGTTACAAAATGTTATATTTGGGTGAAATAAGGTTAGCGACAGAGGAAAAATATTATTTTAGAGAATGCTTCACTTTTGAAACCATAGATTGTAGCAACTTAACCAAAATAATTACAAGGAATGAAAGACTCAGAAATGAGTAGATCCTTAATAATTAAACACATTTCTAGGCCATTATTTCCCCCTACTTATACAATGCATACCATGTTTTAAAATGTATTTCACTGGCCAGGTGCAGTGGCTCACACCTATAATTTGGGAGGCCAAGGCACGTGGATCACTTGAAGTCAGGAGTTTGAGACCAGCCTGGCCAATATGGTGAAACCCCCGTTTCTACTAAAATTACAAAAATTAGCCAGGTGTGGTGGCGGGCGCCTTTACCTGTAATCCCAGCTACTCAGGAGGCTGAGGCAGGCGAATCGCTTGAATCCCCGAGGGGAATGTTGCAGTGAGCCGAGATTGAGCCACTGCACTCCAGCCTGGGCAATAGAGGGAGGAGCTGTCTTAAAAAAACAGAAAAATGTATTTCACTCACTACTACATGAAAAGCCCTGGAGAAAGAATACCAATACCCTTAGGAAAGAAGCAGTTTTATTATTATTATTATTATTATTAGATGGAATCCCGCTCTGTCGCCATGGTGGAGTGCAATAGCGCCGTCTTGGCTCACTGCCATCTCCGACGCCCTGGTTCAAGGGATTCTCCTGCCTCAGCCTACTGAAAGTAGCTGAGATTACAGGCACACGCCACCATGCCAGGCTAATTTTTGTATTTTTAGTAGAGACGGGGTTTCACTGTGTTGGCCAGGATGGTCTCGATATCCTGACCTCGTGATCCACCTCCCAAAGTGCTGGGATTACAGGCGTGAGCCACTGCGCCCAGCCAAGAAGCAGTTTTAATAATGAGTTTGGCCATTTAGGCTTGTAACTAACTGGATTATTGAATATTCTTTAAAATTACTTTGTATTAGTCCCTTTTCTTCTATTTCCTTATTTCCAACTCTCCCATTAGTATGCACGCTTTATTCCTACTCAAGTTTCCCCCTATGAGCCCAGGAGTAGTAGTATTATTTTTGCAGCGATTGGGTTTAGGTTGGTGAAGTGAATAGTGTCTTTCTAATCTGCAGAGGGAAGGCAGCACCATCCCCTGGCTTGCTGCTGCAGCCTCTCTTTAAACAGCAGGTTCACTCTTTCTGCGGCATTCCAGAAGGAACACCAGTAGGAACAGCTCCACACATGCTGACATCTTGTCTGAAGTTATCCCAAGAAGTCCTGTGGCATTTGCAATGTGCCTGTATATTTTCCCTTTAAAAAAAAAAAAAAAATCTTCCTGCAGACTTTGTTGAAACCACAAACAAACATAACCAAGCAAAGCCCTTTCTAGCAGAGCATGTTAATCACACACTGCTATATTCTGTGAAACAGTAAGCAAATGATAACCTCCAACTGTTGCCCGGGCCCTGTAAACAAAAGATCAAATTCTGTGTTCTGCCTTGGCAAGGAAAGAAACTGCAGCATTTTGTCAAGATTTTTACAAGTCCTGGGCTTCACATTACTGGCTGAAATTGTTCTTTCTCTACTTTACAGAAAAATGGAAAACACTAGTAAACTTAAAGATTTAAATGTTATTTTAAAAGGAATATAATAAAAAATGGAAAACACTAGTACATTTAAAGATTTAAATAGTATTTTAAAAGGAATGTAATCAAAACTGTAGTTTAAAATACAATCAGGCTCCATAATAGAGGCAATTGGCTGTGTGTTCCACCTGTAATGCAGGGGATTTGAAGCATCTATTTTTTCCCTTGTTTCTATGGATTTATGAATAAAGACTCTGACCCCCCTCAGGATTAGGAAAATTACGAAAAATTTAAAGCCTGGGTTTTAAGGTCTGTAGAAGCTGCACAGGTACACTAATTTTAGTAAGACGGGCGCCAGAATGAATAGTTTTCTCCACAGGAAAAAGAGAACAAAATAGTAGGGGAGAAATATTCAGGCATCCTAAAAAATATTCAGTGGAAACGTGAAAACATTAAAGACTGGTTAAACATCGCAGCATGACACAGATTTAGCAATCGATCATATATAATTTGGCTCAGATATTGCTCCAAAATCCGAAGAGCAAACACAGGACCAATTTCTTCCAGGACAACGACCTCGTCCTCTGCAGACCCCTCTCCTCGGCAGCTGAAGGTGTGGCCAATCTGCCTCCACCTCCCCGCAAACCTCCCAGTCTCAGGACCTTCCGCGGACCCTCCCAGTCTCAGGACATTCCACAGCACCCCACACTGGAAGTGGCCGCTGCAGACCCAAGGACAAGCGGCACGCGGGAACTGGCAGCCCCAGTGGAGCGGTTAGAGACGTTGAGGTGGGAGGGTCACCTAGGTGGGGTGAAGCTGGGGTGGTTAGCGGGGCGAACGGCTTTCGAAGCTCTGGGCCGCCCCCAGGTTGGACTAAGCAGGCGCTCATGCCTTCGCCCCCGCCCAGGATGGGCGTCTCCTGAGGACTCCCCGCCACACCTGACCCGACACCGCACGCTCAGCCTAGAACGCTTTCAAACCCCGACCCAGCGCAGGGCCGCCGCGACTGGCGCGCGGGGGGCGGCGGGAGGCCTAGCGAACCGGGGGGCGGGACCAGGCGGGCAAGGCCCGGCTGCCGCAGCGCCACTCTGCGCGAGGCGTCTCCGCCGCGGCGGAGGGATACGGCGCGCCATATATATACCACGGGGCGCAGGCTCGCGCTCCGGCAGTGGTGCTGGGAGTGTGGTGGACGCCGTGCCGTTACTCGTAGTCCGGCGGCGGCGCAGGCGGCGGCGGCGGCACAGCGCACAGCGCGCCTTAGCAGCAGCAGCAGCGGCAGCAGCAGCACCATCGGAGGCACCCCCGTCGTCACAGCCCCTGTGCTGGTGCAGCCACCCTCGCTCCCTCTGCTCTTCCTTCCTTCGCTCGCACCATGGTAGGTCGGGAGTGGCAAATGCCGGCGTAGCGGCTGCCCGAGATTTCTTCCCAGATTTCTAGTTGTTTTGTTTTTTGTTTGTTTTTGGTTCGTGGAGGTTTTTCTTTTCTGAGTGTTACGCAGTAGCTGCGCTTAAAGGAGGATGTATTTTGGATTTGCATCTCGGCGACCTCTGCCAGGGGGCTTCATTTATTGGTTCCCCTTGGAGCTGGACTTGGCCGTAGGCCGTCCAAGGGCAGGGGCTCCGGCCGCAACTGCAGCGGGGCTTTCTGCATCTAGCCCCCCCGCCCCCCGCCCAGCCCCGCACCCACTGCATCCACCAGCGCCGCACCCGGGCTGCCTGCAGCGCAGCGTTTCGGCCTGGGAGCCGGGCGGGGCCGGGCACTAGACCCCCCCGCCTGCCTGTGCCCACCTCGCTCGCCCCTCCCCACCCCGCTTCTCCGCCGGCGTGAAGGTGGCAGGTCGGGCAGGCAGTGGAGAATGAATGGGCTGGAGCGGGCCGGTGGCGCACATTGTTCCGGCCGGGTATTAAGGGGCGCAGTGAGCCCCCGCCACCTCCCCACCTTGGCCGGTCCTGCTGGGCACCCTCCCTCGGTCGCTCTCCCCTCCTTCTTCCCGGGGGGCGCGGCGCGGGCGTGGGCTGGGAAGGAAGGAGCCGGGGAAGGGTGGGG